GACAACTTTGTGGTAGATGTTAGTTGTTTATCGAAGCAAGTTTGTATAGTAGCGTTCAAAGGTTCTAGATCGTTTTTGGAACTGAGTCTATGGCATCGTGCTGTTATTTACTTTCGCTACTGAGCTCGTGTAATATTCTACTTGTCGAGGATTTCGAAGAAATACGAGATAATTTTCCTCACTCTTGTGTCAATAATCAGTTAGTCGAGCAACCGCTTTCCGACAGCGATACTGAGCTGCTCTGCATTGCCGTTGGAAAGGGACAACTTTGTGGTAGATGTTGCTCGAGAAATGAATGTGATGTTGCTTTTATCAAAGCATTGAAATTTGTATAATAGAGTTAAAAAGATTCTAGATCGTTTTTGGAATTGAGTCTATGGCGCATCGTTGTGCTGTTATCAACCCTTGGCGTGTTATTTACTTTCGCTTGTGTAGCATTCTACTATCGACAATTTAGAATAGTAGCTTTAACACTGTTTCTACCGAAAGTGTCAAAAGATACCTTTCGAATTTTTAACTTAAAATTATTTTCCAAGTTTAGTCGTATATTCTGAATTGACTTCTCGACTTTTCCAGTAACGGTTGTAAAATTGATTATAGGAAATGTAGAACATTCAATCAAGGGAACATGATTAAATTGAGAAAATAATTTTAAGGTAAAATTTCAAAAGGTGTCTTTCGACACCTTTGGTAGAAATAGTGTTAATGCTTTCATGGCCTGGAATATTACATTAATCAGTGGCTTTCGCGTAAGAGCCGTATCCAATAGGAATTTCTTCGCGACGTTTCTAGAAAACTATTACTAGAAAAAATTACTAGAAAACTATTAGAATTTCTCAGACAAATCGTAAATCAATTGATATATAGATGCATTCTTCGAGTTTCTACAAAGAAACTTCAAAGTAGAGTAAGTAAATTGCTCTTAACACATTGCGTACCGGCTACTTGTCAGAAAATTGTTCACATGGAAATTTTCAGTAAGATCAACTTATATTGCTATACATACAAAAACTCAGATATCATATTCTTACGTAATGTATTCTAAATAGATAATCAATTCGAATGAAATTCCATATTTTTCTAAGTACTATAGTAATCAGCAAAATCGCATAGCTAAGTGTCTTCACATAAAACCAAGATTTCTCGTCGCCAATATACAGTGTGTTAAGTATAATAATTGATTACAGAAGAGTAATGTTTACTTTAAATTCGAATAAATCGAGTAATATCTGTATTTGTTAAACGATGTTGAAAATCTTCACAGTCTGACACGTAACAAGGGGTTAAGGTTGCACAAGACTCCGGTTATTTACACAAGGCTCGACGATCGACACGATTCTAGTTAACACCAGGTTTACGGAACGCGTCAAATCGACGCATATTGTATTTCAGAAATATTTTGATTGATGCGATCACACTGACATGTACCCCAATTACCAATAAATCCCCGTAAACCTAGTGTTAACACTAAAACTACCAGACGGGTCAAATGATCCCCTGATGTCTTCTTTTTGCAATTATTAGAAAGGTAACAAATCTTTCCCTGAGAAATTACTAAAAGAATTCATTCAGCACTACGCAAATTGAATTGTACATCAACTGAAGTCCGAACAGACGCACTCTTGGAGTTTCCACAGCGAAATTTTCAAAAGTCAATTGAAGTGCTCGGTAGTTTTAGTGTCAGTGTTTCGGTGAAAAAGAAATCAAAGGGTTCAGAGATGTTTAGCTCGAACGCATTGCAATTCGCATTTCTGTCCCGCGACGCGTTTAAGAGGATCCGGTTATAAGACTTCCCCTTCGTCCCGATGGAAACCCCTCTGTATCGGATTCCTGCAACTCGGAAACTTTCGACACGCGGATCTGGGTCACGACTATCCGGCACGGGACGGGCCTGGATGGACGTGGTAATTGAGGGGAAACCGGGGAAGTATGCGGCCGTCCCCTCGATTACGTTTCCCACGCGACTTCTCGTTGCGATTCGTCCTCGGTGGGAGACGCAGTAGGCGGTAAGCTAGACCTCTTTCAGGCCAAGAACCAGCGTCCGCCGGCAACGGGATGGACCGGAGTCCGAGCAACGTGTCGATCAGCAGGAATCACAGTTCGTCCGCTTTGGAGAACGGCGATGGGAATCATAGGGTTCGTACGGAGTCTCGCGGGAGTACGAGGCTCGATGGAAAGGATACCGCGCGTGGAGCTTTTATGTTTTACAGGATTAAGCCTTTGCGTTTGATGAGATTTTTTGTGATGAACGTTCGTTATTTTCTGATGAAATTTTAACGATATTGTTTGGAAGTTATGTGGAGGAACATGTTAGTTCTATGTTCCATGTGTAAAAAAATTATTCAATATTTTATATTGAATTGTTCATTTTGTTGTTTGGTTGCGTTCAATGAAATGGCGATTGAGGGTCGTGTCTTGAGTGCAAGGGTTAATCTTTTGCACTCGACAATATTTTTTGTGACGAACTCTCGTTGTTTTCTGATGAAATTTTAACGATATTGTTTGGAAGTTACATGGAGGAACATATTAGTTCTATGTTTCATGTGTTAAGAAATTATTCAATATTTTTCGTGACGAATGTTCGTTGCTTTCTGATGAAATTTTAACGATACTGTTTGGAATTTATATGAAGAAACATTTTGCATAAAAGATGACAGAGTTGTTTTATTTCTGTTTCGTGTGTTAAAAAATTATTCAATATTTTATATTGAATTGTTCATTTTGTTGTTTTGTTACGTTCAATGAAATGGCGATTGAGGGTCGTGTCTTGAGTGCAAGGGTTAATCTTCTGCACTCGACAATATTTTTTGCGACGAACTCTCGTTGTTTTCTGATGAAATTTTAACGATATTGTTTGGAAGTTATATGGAGGAATATATTAGTTCTATGTTTCATGTGTTAAGAAATTATTCAATATTTTATATTTAATTTTTCCTTTTATTGTTTTATTGCGTTCAATCAAATGGCGACTGAGGGTCACTTCTAAGACAACCCTTTGCACTCGTGACGCGACTCTCGCCACTTAATCAAACGCAACAAAAGAACAAAATAAAGAATTCAATATAAAATGTCCAATAATTAGTTACAACATGAAACATAAAAATAATATATTCCTCCATATAAGTTCCAAACAATATCGTTAACATTTCATCAAAAAATGAACGTTCGTCAAAATATTGTCGAGTGCAAAGGGTTAATATCAATCTTCGTACAACACAATCCATAAAACATTAGTTGAAAAAAATATCAGTATCAAACAATAATATCTCCAATGAAAAACCTGTGCAGTGCAAAGGATCAATACAGACACGTGCAGTGATCCAACGATAGCTCGAATGATCCCCTTTCTTCGTTAATCCTGTGAAACGTAGAAATCCAAGGTGCGCGGGGCTTTTCATTAGCCTCGTACGTTTCTATAGCAAGAAATATATCCTCCAATGCGTCCTGATGATCCTCGTTCAACAGGGGAACACTCATTTCATGAGGAAAATCCCGGCAGGAGCCGAAGCGAGCAACATCCTCGTCGGGGAGGTCGATTTTTTAGATAAAACCCTGTCAGCCTTCATTCGCTTGAGCCAAGCCGGTATAATGGGAGACCTGACGGAAGTCCCTGTGCCAACGAGATTCATATTCGTCCTGTTGGGACCAACGGTAAGATACTTTCAACCTTGACCCACTCCACAGTCGGATCCGATTTGAAAGCCTAGCCTCCTCTTTCCGAGTAATTCGAGTTTTAACGAAGCAATTGTCCACGCTGATTGCCCCGTCTGCTCTCGGGCTCGAGAGTCCGATACGCGAAGTAATTTCGATCTGACACGAATACCGGCTTCGTTATATCGTTCAATATCATCACCTTCGCATACTCCGCCCGACGATTTAGCCGTATGCCCGTCCCGTAATCCATTCGATTCCCCGTCTCGTCGGCGACGCGATGCATTCGCCCCTTTGTTCTTGGAACTCGTCGCAGGGAGGTATCTCCGGTTTCCATGAGATCGGCCGGGCCATGGCCACGCTGATGTCGGACGAGGTGTTTCACGACGTGGCGTACAAAGCGAAGAATAGGAATCACCTGCTGGCCGGCATCGACGAGTTCCTGGACGCTGTTACGGTCCTGCCGCCCGGCGAGTGGGATCCTGCTATTAGGATAGAACCGCCCGCTGCGATTCCTTCGCAGGTATGCGATGGATTTTTCGGGTGCTCCGGTGGAATGCGATTGGAGTTTGGGAGATTGGAGATGCGAGAGTTTGAATGTTTGAAAGGATTAATATATGAAAGTTTAAATGTATGAAAGATTAACAGTTTCAGAGATTAAATATATGGAAGTTTGACAGTTCGAAAGGTTAAATGTATGAGAGTTTAAATGTTTGAAAGCTTAAATATGGGAAAGTTTAAATGTATGAAAGTTTAACAGTTTGAAAGATTAAATATATGGAAGTTTGACAGTTCGAAAGGTTACATATATGAGAGTTTAAATGTTTGAAAGCTTAAATATGGGGAAGTTTAAATGTATGAAAGTTTAACAGTTTGTAAGCTTAAATATATGAGAGTTTAAATATTTGAAAGCTTAAATATGTGAAAGTTTAAATATATGGAAGTTTAACAGGTTGTAAGCTTAAATATATGAGAGTTTAACCTTTGAAAGCTTAAATATATGAAAGTTTAATAGTGTAATAGTTTGGAAGTCTGAAAATTTGAAAATCTGAAAATTTGAAAGTTTGGAAGTTTGAAAACTTGGAAGTTTAAAAGTTTAAAAGCTTGAAAGCTTGAAAGTTTGAAAATATAAAAGTTTAAAAGTTTGGAAGTTTGAAAACTTGGAAGTTTAAATGCTTGAAAGTTTGGAAGTTTAAAAATATAAAAGATTAAAAGTTTGGAAGTTTGAAAACTTGGAAGTTTAAAAGTTTAAAAGCTTGAAAGCTTGGAAGTTCGAAAGATTGAAGTTTGAAAACATAAAAGTTTGAAGTTTAAAAGCTTGAAAGTTTGAAAACTTAGAAGTTTAAAAGCTTGAAAGTTTGAAAACTTAGAAGTTTAAAAGCTTGAAATCTTGACAGTTTTAAGTTTTAAAGCTTGAAAGTTCAAAAGTTTGAAAGCTCAAAGCTTGAAAACTAAAACTCCAAAACGTTAAAAGCATAATAACAAAGAAATTAGAAAATTTCAAACCTCCAAAATTTGAGATCTCCAAAATTTCAAAACACCAAAGACTCACAATCCACCGATCACCAGGTAACCAAATTCCATCATTCAATTCCATCCACCACACAGAAAACCACATTCGCATTTTCCTCGAGAAGGTATTTGATCAGCGCGCCTGATTTAGGAGGTAAGAAAGCGGCCAAAAGAGGAGAAGCCAAAGGAGGATCTGGACGAGGAAGCGGACGAGCAGAAGCAAAGGGAGGAGTCCGGTCTGTCCAGGAGTGGGAAGCTGTTCGGCGGCCTGGTCAACGACATCAAAAGGAAAGCGCCATTTTACTTGTCCGACTTCAAAGACGCCTTGGCGATCCAATGCGTGGCGTCCTTCATTTTCCTGTACTTCGCCTGCCTGTCCCCTATAATCACGTTCGGCGGGCTACTGGGCGAGGCCACTGGTAAGAACATGGCCGCCATGGAGTCGCTCGTGTCCGGTTTCGTATGCGGCGTCGGGTACGGCCTCTTTTCCGGGCAGCCATTGACGATCCTCGGTTCGACCGGTCCAGTGCTAGTCTTCGAGACGATCGTCTACGACTTCTGCAAGTGAGTTTCCCTCTAAAAACCCTTAACACCTACCCAATCCACGCAACCGAGTTCATTGAATGTCCACAGAAAGGCAGGCTGGAACTACATGTCCTTCCGCTTCTGGATCGGCTCCTGGATCACGTTGATCCTAGTGGTCCTCGTGGCGATCGACGCGAGCGCCTTGGTCTGCTACATCACGCGATTCACCGAAGAGAACTTCGCCACTCTGATCGCTTTCATCTTCATTTACAAGGTACTCGATCGAGCAACCGATCAAAGTTCCTCCAGCACGCTGAAAGGGCCTCGAACGATCGGGCTCTCTCGGAAAGTATCCCGGCCGTGATCGCGTTAATTATGCAATCGCGTCCTTCCCGGCCGATCCGAGTTAATTGGATGGTAACCGCTGTGCTTCGCGGATCGCTTCATCAGCGATACCGCCGGCATTTGGGTCACGAGTTACGGACGCCTTCTTTTCGATGGCCTTCCATGCGAAACTTCTGTATCGCGTCGCGATCATAGATATTTCATCGTCGCCGCGACGCGTTCAGCGACGGCTGGTCTGACGCTCCAGTTCCGAGGAACTCAACCGTTCCGAGCGATCGAGAACTTTTAATAATGTCGCGTTCCGATGGCTTTATAGGCTCCGCTTGTTCTAGGCGATCGAGAACGTGTTGTCTATAGGCAAGAAGTACCCCATAAATACACACGCGAACGACCAGTTCGACTACGAGTGCTGGTGCAAGCCGCCGAACGGCACTCTGCCGTCCAGCTACGACAACGTCAATTGGACGGCGCTGGATCAGGGAGCGTGCCAGGTGAGACAGTAGCCGGCAGACCGTCTCGTTAGGCGAGATTACAAACCTTCGGGCTGTCCCCTTAATATCATGGGCAACGTCGTTAACCCTCTTTCAGAGCTATAATGGCACCTTGGTGGGCGACGGGTGCAACCTGCCGCACTACATACCCGATGTGTTCCTCATGTCAGTTATACTGTTCATGGGCACCTTTTTATTATCCGTCGAGCTGAAAGACTTCAAGAACGCTCTCTTCTTCCCATCCAAGGTATTCCCTCTGCGAGGATCTTCTTTTTGAAATTACCGTAGGGCTTCCCATAAAATGAAAGTGTGCGGAACGGATCTATTGTTTCGAGAAGTTTTGGCGTGAACGAACGTTTGGAATTAACACTAGAATTAACTTCTGTTTCGCGTTAGCGATATCTTCGAAGCATTCAGTATTCGAAATGATTTTGAAGATAGTTTTATTTAAATACTATAATGAATGTCTGAAGGAACCGAGAATAATCTGTTACTACAATATTCATAGTCATTACGTTTCAATCGTATCAAAGGTTCTAGTGTTAAGATGGTGAATGATGCTGAATGACCTCGCGAGTCGGCAAGCAGAAGTATATATTTTACTTCTGTTGTTAACCCTTTCGCTGCCGTGTCAAAGGTAACGCTTTTTTCGGGCCCTTTTGCCTCAAAAACTGACACTGCTTTTAGAAGCGAAACGATTAGTGTTCATAGTTTTGTTTATTGTTATTGTTTATATTGTCTTAACTTTCGGCTCCATCTTTGTAGCCGGTGACTATAGGCATCCGTAGTAGCGAAAGGGTTAAATCTGAGTTTCGCGAGTTTCCTTAAAGAATATGAATAATTCTATAATTAATTTAATGAAAGTATAAGAGATATAAATAAAAGTTGGTTACATTATCGACAGTGAAACGTTACCGTGCTCGTGATCGTAGGTCAGACAGGTGGTCAGCGATTTCGCAGTGATCATCGCGATCTTCTCGATGAGCACGCTCGATCATTTCGTGAACATACCGACGCCGAAGCTGGAGGTGCCGGAGGAGTTCAAGCCGACGTTGCACAATCGAGGGTGGGTGATCTGGCCTTTCCAGAATAATCCATGGTGGAGCGCCATTGTAGCCAGCCTGCCGGCTCTCCTGGGCACTATACTGATCTTCATGGACCAACAGATCACGGCCGTGATAGTCAATAGGAAAGAGAACAAGCTGAAGGCAAGCTATTTCCGATAAACACACTGATATTTTACTGGCGCTCGTAACGTTATGGGATCACTTCGCTCTCTTTGCTATACGGCGCGACTGATGCGTGTAAACCTTTCAGCGAATCGTACAGTTAGAACCGAATGTTAACACATTGTTGACCGGTCACGAGTTAATCCGCGCTGGCACGGCTGAATTTTGTGCGGGGCTGTTTTTGTGTATGGCAGAGCTCAACACGAATAACGTGTAAACGATACAGCGCTACAATGTGTGACGGACAATACTGTCCTCTACGCGAGTACATTGGAATAAAGTTTTTCATGATTAAATTATAATTTTTCTTAAAGATACGATACGCATAATTTAACTTTAACAATTTACTATGATAATTAATAATACAATTGGGCATGATATATTTTAAAGCACGGTACGACACATAAACCTACGTCACGATCTTCACACTCATAGCGCGATCTTCGTCTTGTACCGCTCTTTGAACATACGATACAATTTCGGAACGCTGTTCCAGATGTTTTGGACTTACAATAGAATGGAAAATGTTTTTCGGCTAGTCTAAATGGGTGATCGCGAAAGCCACTATAGTGGCGCGTCGTGCCTGAGAGGTTAATCCGTGCTGGCACTTCCATTAGCCATTTCAAGTTTTCAAATGCGGGGCAATATAGAATACCGCGAAAGCGAAATATTCAAAGTTATTTAACCAGTTAACTGTGGAATTTAGTTGGAGAAACCTCTGGTTCTGCGCGCAATAAAATGAAAAAATGGAGCGTGTACTCGTCGAACGCAGGACGAATGCACGTTAAATATTTTTAGACACACCACGTTTATTAGAGTATATTTCAGTGAAAGATCAAAGCAAAACAAAGAAGAATTGCATGTTTATGTGAAAAAATGAAGAATTCATCGCTGAAAGAATTAGTATCGTGTCAAGCTTTACGATGACGTGTATACTCGTCGAACACAGTTAACATGTTCCGTGCCACGGGAACTTCGGTTATATTTTGCTTATGAACTGTATTGACTTTTTCAATAGAATAATTAGATATATTCAGGTTTTTGGTAATTTTTATGTATTTTGATATTGTTTCTTTATGTTCTCACTGCTTTGTAACTGTTCACATTAAAAATATTTTCTTACAAAAATTGGCGTGTACCACATGTGGTGCACGTGGCACGGAACGCGTTAACGTGTTAGTAGCGAGCGCCAGCTTCCTAACATTTGACAGTATACTACCGGTCGTACGCGTAATGATCGTTGGAGACGATTCTCCGCAGAAAGGGTGCGGCTACCATCTAGACCTGTTCATCCTCGCGATCCTGATCGAGATCTGCTCGGTGATGGGTCTGCCGTGGTTCGTCGCAGCGACCGTGCTCTCGATCAACCACGTGAACTCGCTGAAGCTGGAGTCCGAATGCGCCGCGCCCGGCGAGAAACCGCAGTTCCTCGGCGTCCGAGAACAACGGCTCACCCACATCTTGATTTTCCTGATGATCGGCTGCTCGGTCCTGTTGACGCCGATGCTCAGACACATACCCATGCCGGTCCTGTTCGGTGTCTTCCTCTACATGGGCGTGGCATCTCTGAAAGGCCTCCAGTTCTTCGACAGGATCCTGATCATGCTGATGCCGGTCAAGTACCAACCAGACTACATGTTCCTTCGACAGGTAACGTAGAATTCGATGATCGTCGCCTGATATAATTCGGTTAGCTTTGTCGTTCATCTTGGATTTTCGTTTAGGTACCGCTGAAACGCGTCCACCTGTTCACGGCGATACAACTGGCTTGCCTGGCGTGCCTCTGGATCATCAAATCATTCAGCAGTACTTCCATCCTCTTCCCTCTGATGGTGAGAATAGCGTCTGAGATGGTTCAGAATGACCTATCTGAAAGTTCCTAGGTTTTGTTATTAACTCTTTGCACTTCGAGAGTGTTCTTCTTCTCTTTTTCTGCTTTCTCTTCTTTCTGATGAAGCATAGTCGACATTCCTTGAAACTAACTTATCGGGGAATCGTACATAAATTAAAAGAGGCTGTTTTAGTCGAACGTTTCACATACTAACATGTCATACGAAACTTAATATTAAACGTTATACTTCATAATTTTGCTGTATCAAATCGTTTCGCGACTGAGAGGCGCCTATGGAATGCAAAGGGTTAAAATTGTATCAATACTCTTATGGAGAATTATAAAATAAATTAGCGCATACTTTAGTTTCTAGAACTCGAAATAAGTAGGAATCAACACGGATTTGTTAATCAAATTTTCAGTTGTAATAGCAGTTACAATCCTGAATCGACGGAATAGCTCTTTCTAATCTAAATGTTATATGAACGTAGGATTAGCAATTAAACGATAGACTAAAAATCCCGCATTATCGCGGAGCCGGCGCGCAATGTGTTAAAAAGAGTATACCGTCGACGATCTTCGAACTGACCGAAGTTTCCCTTCCGCAGCTGGTGGTGATGATCGGTATAAGGAAATCGCTGGACCTAATGTTCACGCAGCGCGAGCTGAAGATCCTGGACGACGTGATGCCGGAACCGAGCAAGAAGCACGCGGACGATCTTCGCCAGCTCGAGAGTGGCGAGGTTAGCTACGTGAGACGAATACTAAACGCGATCGTTGGTCGTAAATAGCACGCGAGAAGTGACCGCGTGGCGAACATTTGCCCCGTGGTCACTGTGACCGTCTGCGACTACGACGAGCCACCGTTTCGACAGAAACGCAAGGAACTAGGTATCTTGATCGTCGATCGCGTCAGAGCAGCTTGAGACGTCTCGCTGGGACAGCGGTTCTTAACCTTTCCCATTCGCGACCCAAACGGAGATAAACAGTTATCTCGAACTTTATCAGTATCTCGCTGAAGATATCCTTGTTAAATTATAATACGAAACGTGTAATCGTCTAGAGAAGTCTCTGACCCAGTATCCAAAACAATAAATATGTTATTTATAACTCATTTCATATTATCCCGCTGATATTTAATAGAAAATCTAATGTAAAATGTGTGTTACAATCTAGAGATCGTTACATGTATCTGAGAATCGTCTCGTTAACCGTTTGGCTGCTGACGGATTTTTTCCAAAATTGAAAACACTTTTCATAGAATAAACTCTTATATTGCAACAACAATTTTTAAAAATACCATTTACTTACTTAAATTCGTTTTAATTCATTTTGTGGATAGAATTAGTAAAAAGCACTTATAATTCACTCAAATTAACGCAAATAATTTTTTATGATCCTTTACACGAGTTTGCTATACAAAGCGCGTGAATTCCCTTTTTACAAATAGAGCAAATTAATTTTGAACAAAAAAGGATCGCACTCTTCGCAATTTTGGCAAAACAGCCGAACTCAGCAGTCAAACGGTTAAAGGGAACGATCCAATATCTAAAACAGACAATAAACATGTTATTGTAACTTATTTTATATTGTCCGATGTTCGATAGAGAATCTAATGTAAAATGTGTGTTACAACGTAGACTTACGTGATCGTATCTGAAAATCGTTCGTGTCTCGTTGAAGAGAAGGAACAGCGACTTTTGGGTCGCGGTTTACAAGTTGAGAACCGCTGCGCTAGTGGACCATAGGAAAGAGAGTCGTCGTCGTCGACGTCATCGTTGCCGTTATTCGTTGTTATTATTGTTAATCTTCTTCCGACCAAAAGCAATAACAGTCTGTCCGTCCCTGGACGTAGCAAAGTAACAATGACCGTCTGTGTGAAACGAAAAGTTCCCATCGTCTCCGTTTGTGTCTGCGAGGAGGCGCGATCCGCACAATCCCGACCAAGATGGATTCGTTCGCGCAGACACGTTCCCGCGAGTGCCAAATAGAAATTCACACGACCGCGAGACCGAACCGGTCGCCGGTCCGACCAGTATTAATTATACGAACGATTCTTGCGCCGCCGTTTCATTGTTCTCTAAACAATACAACGTTTTATTGTCTCGGACACTTTCGCAGATAAGCTTGTACCGCCTGTGAGTAACACTGAGTTAGAGCGATAGCGGATCGTACACGCTCACGGTATTTATTGTCGAGAATGTTCGCGTCGACGAGAGATCGTTCGTGTCACGATCTTCGATTTATGCTCGGCCTAAACGGACGAGGTAGAGAAAAGTTACTGCGAACGCGTTGGAACGTGGCCAAGTTACGATGGAGTTGGGTATTAATCCGTGGAAGGTTTTAGTTCGATTAGTCGATTGACTCTCGAGAAATCTTTGACTTAATGACAATAATCGTCGATCGTTAACCCTTCGCACTCGACAGTTTTCCACTTGAAGTATTCTGTATTTTCTAATTAGATGTAGACGAGATTCTTTAAAATGAGTTTAACGAGGAATCATACATGAATTAGGTAAAGCTGTTTTCTTTCGATGTTTCGCGTATCGATGCAATACACAAAGGTTAATGGTAAATATAAAAGTTTATAATTTTCCTGTATCAGATCATCTGGCGACTAGGAGTCGCCTCTCGAGTGCAAAGGGTTAACAAAGGAGAATTCATTGGAGTATCGCATGATTTAATCCTTTGCACTCCTATGAGTTTCACAGCTCTGACTTTGTTAAGATTTTTAAAATAAATTATGTTATTCTCAATATTATTAGTAAGGAGGATTTACAGTGCTCTCTACGAACTATTCTCAAATGCATTTCAAATAAAATATAATAGAGTTGTCGAGAAAGATGGAAGTTCGGAGTGCAAAGGGTTAATCGATGATACAAAAGATTCGATGACGAAAGTGTCGGTAGTTGATCAGTGATTAAGTTTAACTAACGATCGAACTGCGAGTTTAATCCGTAATCGCCGCAATTACGAGGGATCCGATTAATAATCGCAATCAACGACCAACGATAACCACTAATTTAGTCGTTAATTGCCGTTAACAAACTGAACACGAAATTGAATCGATCGCCTGCCCAACTCTGGTATACGATATCATTGTCACCTCATCGCGACAACACGCCTACCCTTCGACACACGATGTGTACCGTCGAACACTTTGGATTACCCGTCTTCGAAACCTATTTGGAAATACATTATTCTTTGAAAACACACACCAAAATCTCTCTGTAAACCCAGACTGTTCCCTTGCGCAGCATCCGAACACAACCGACACTGTTCTAATACCTACAATCTACGCACGATACGCCCGAAATTCCGTCACGCGGCAGAAGTAGAGTAGACCGTTGTTGGTCAGACAGGATGGGTGCTAGCGACACAAGGTCTGTACACAATGACAAGTCTCGATTGAATTCAGTGTGACTAACAAATTCGAATAGGTTGTTCTTGCTGGCGAAAGGGTGGGGGTTCACGCGGTCACTGTCATGAACATTTTGAGCGTTCTATACAATGTTGCTTGTTCTTTCATAACAATGACGAATCTTATTTCAACGCATTCGCTGTCGTACAGTGTGATATTTGATTTGTCGATTGATTTTATGTTAGTTTGAAATATAACGAGGAATCGCGTTAGGAATTTGAAATTTCGAAGTGTTTAATTATGCATTGGTAGCGAATGGGTTGAAAACACAGGGAGACAGGGGGAAAAATGATCGATAAGGAAATGAGAGGCCGGAGGCAAAAAGGTAGCAGTCGTCATCGAGTCCTGTGGCTGTCATTTTTGGTACGTGACCACATGTGCACGTCCTTAGTTCCTCAGCACACGAGGAATGTAATTTTCAAGTTCATATTATATATACATCCCCGCTGAAGATCACACTGTCATTACGTTTAACATCCGAATGTCGATCACTGCGATACATCCGTTTGCGAATGTGGCGACGAAGCTTTGGATTGTCGAGTCATCGATCGAAGAGTGTTTGAATTTTTTATTTATTGAGATTCGAGTGATGATTGTTTGTTTTTTTTATGGGAATGGTATGGTGATCGTTTGATTCGATCGATGTCGATCGATTGGCGTCCAAGTTCGTTGTTGCTCGAGCTCTATCGACGACGTATGTCGAGAGAGAGAGAGTTTTCGCTCAGCTCGATGCATGGCTTGAGGCTTTTCGTAACCGATTATTGAAACTGGCAGCCGGTTCGTGAATTAATTCGACGATGTGTTCTGCAGGAGCATAACGAATCGACGGGATACGGGACGACCGCGGGTAACATACAGATCTCGTTGGCGAACGGGAATATTATGAGGATCCCCGTGACGAGCATCAATATCAGCGAGGAGGTGAACAAGACGGGGATCTGGCAACAGGTCAACGAGGGGAACGAGAAGCCGAAGCAGACCAAGTTGATCAAGTATGTATCGGTTGGAGGAAGAAGGAAACTATATTTTTGATCGAATGTGGAATCTGGAAACGAATAGTTGAAATTTCAACTTTTAAGTTTTAAGTTTCAAATTTTTCAGACTTTCAAACTTTCAAACTTTCAAACCTTCAAACTTTCAAACTTTCAAATCTTCAAATCTTCTAACAGTCAAGCTTTGAAATCTTGAAATCTTGGAATCTTCAGATCTTCAAATTTTCAAAGCTTCAAATTTTCAAATCTTCAGATCACTAAATTTTCAAACCTTCAAATCTTCAAATTTTCAAATTTTCTAACATTCAAACTTTCAAATTTTCAAATTTTCAAACTTTCAAATCTTGAAATCTCGAAATCTTGAAATATTGAAATCTTGAAATCTCGAAATCTAGAAATCTCGAAATCTTGAAATCTCGAAATCTTGAAATCTTGAAATCTTGAAATCTTGAAATCTTGAAATCTTGAAATCTTGAAATCTTGAAATCTTGAAATCTTGAAATCTCGAAATCTTGAAATTTTGAAATTTTGAAATCTTGAAACCTTGGAATCTTCAGATCTTCAAATTTTCAAAGCTTCAAATTTTCAAACTTTCAAATCTTGAAATCTTGAAATCTCGAAATCTTGAAATCTTGAAATCTTGAAACTTTGAAACCTCGAATCCCCTAAACCTTAAAATCTTGAAACTTTCAAACCTTCAAATAAATAAATTTTCAAATTCCAAATGCCACGTCAGCACGTCGAAGCAAAAGAAGCACTCGAAAAAGGATAGCTCGTTGATGGCCGACGAGACGACGAGACTGACCACGATGACCGAGGAGGACGAGGATGACAGTGGGATCTCTATCAAGGTGACACACGTAAATGACTCTAAATTCTAACCACCATCACCAATCCGATAATTCACATGGCAAGACACACAGAGCAAGAGCACCAATACACCGGCATGCAACTTAACCCCTGTACGCTACTGTGAGTAAGACTATGAAAGGGGGCTGCACGGTACCCTGCGGTTGAGTCGTCGTAGATAGATATCCCCAGAACAACAACGACGACCGCTAAAAAGGAAAATATATCCAATTTCAATTTCCCTCGTCATTGATCCAATTCCCGACTATTTCTCGCATGGTCCCCTCTTAACGCGCCACTGCACTGCAGCGTCGTCTAGCATGCGTGAAAAGAAATCACGATTGAACGATGCAACCTGTTGAAAACGAAGGAACCGTCATTCACCTCCATTTATTTTAAATAATTCAAACTCCAACTAACATCTTCGAATAATTAACGCTAGAACTATCAAACTTCTCTGTTTTTAACCCTTAGCACTCCAGGTTTCGTAATCTAACAGCAACTGCAAGTAAATTAGAAATATAACAGTTCTTCGATCTTTTATTTCCCTTGTTACTAAAATTCGGATGTGTGGAAAATCGATTGATTTTAGGGTAGTTTCAAGATTCATTAAAATATTTGATATTAGAACTGGTGCAGTATTGGAGCCTACAGAGTTCAAAGGGTTAATATTAATCTGTTGGTCTCATCTTCGCTTAAGAAAACTGATGATACAGAAACTTGTAACAACATTTTGCACTCCAAAGGTGCCTATCGATTGGTGCATCAAAATTGTAAAATTTCGTATTCAACATTAAGTTAGTTTTAAATTTTATTTTAAATATAAAAATATCATATTAAATTAAATATTATATTAAATATAAGAATATATATTACAATATTTGATTCCTCATTAAGTTAGTTGAAAAATCATCTATATCTCATAAAAATAAATTGAATATTTCTGGTAACAAATTTTTGGAGTGCAAAGGGTTAACACGTTGAACGCCGCATTTCAAAATATACAAAATGGAAGAAACATAATACGAAATCACTCGATTGAATTGCATTATTACACGTTCTATTTAAATGTTACATTATATAACATTAAAATACAGAAATGTTTTCAAATAATCGTTTCATCGAATGAACTGTATTCTATAAAAACTATAGCATTCAACGTGCTAACATGATATTCATGTTTGCCATGAAAATAAACGACGAGCCTGACTCGTGATATTCAAGTTTGCCCGAAAATTTTCATCGTGAGTCAGACTCGTGAAAATAGTGCAAGTCGACTGGTGATAATCAAGTTTGGCCGAAAATTTTCATTACGAATCAGACTCGTGAAAATAGTGCAAGGGGTTAACTCGCCATAGTTCCAGCGTTAAGGTGAAGAGCTCAACCCAAACAACTGCTTCGATTTTTGCTATGCACCTTGAACTTGTAATCGTCGCTCGTTCGTACGAATTTGCTCGAGAATCGAAGAATTCAAAGAAAAGCACGCTACATATTCGATTGGATAATTCCAGGTAGACTTGATACGATCGAAGGAGAGCATCAGCCCGTTGACTGTGAACGGCACGACGTCGGCCGAGACTTCAGTTTAACGGTCCACGAGATCGGTTCGCGATCGAGAACGATCGAGGAGCTTCCCGATTCGTCA